AGCCTGAGACCAGGGGCCTCGCAGCGAAGTCAAGGGCCTGCAGCAGTCACACCGGCTGCACAGCTCGCTGCCACCAGGACACAGAGGCTCTTTTCGGGTTCCCCCTTCTCAGAACGCTAGAACGGCTCTACACAATAATCTGTATTTAGTAGGTTTTAAATGAATTCAACTGTAAGACTTTTGACACTTCGTTTCTGAATCTCTGTCATGTTACTTTACCATGTCATGTTTTGAAGAAGCTGACTTTAAGAAAAATTCATTAAATAAACTGCTAATTCAATATCTTGAAACTAAAGATTGTCTAGAGACAATTTAGAATTCATTTTACAAAGGACCCTTCAAGACACAACCCCAAGACACACACTAACTCACCTTAAACTTAACTATGAAAAAGAAATTTCTTTTCCCTAAACCCAAAATGTGTTTTACCTTTGTGAGTATGTTTCAGAAAATGAGAAAAGGCTCTTTATTAAGCACTAAAGATGCCTCTCTGTTCCTGTTTTTAAGGTGCCTCCACAGGCCATTCTGTCCAAAACATACATACATCTAAAGCATGACTGTAGACCTCCCTCTGCCATAGGACTTGTATTATACTTTGTTTTGACAGAAAGCAATCGAAGACAGGAGGGTACAGAAGGAAAGGTGGGGAAGGCATTCCCTCCAGTGGCCTCGCCCCCTGCACGAGAGCAAGACTGATGTCGTCTTCTCTGGGAAGAGGCAGACAGCTTTCCATAAATGAAGCTACAAACACAGAGTGTAATCTGGCTCGATACCCAGGCCACTGTCTGTCTAGCCCAAATCCACTGCACGTGGTCTTAATAAAGCCCGGCTCCTTGTGGAGCCACTTCACACGACAGACCTCTCCTGGCTTAAAATGCTACCCTCCTCCCTCTTACACCCCTCAAAGAATCTTTATTAAACAAGCTGGGGGGGCTAGAGAGAGAAGCCCACTCTATTTCTTCAGGTCTACAGCCCCCTCCCAGCTTACTACGTTTAATCTGTTCTTATCATAGAGGGGTCCAGGGTGGCCCCCCGGTGTCCTCTGAGGCAGGGCACGTTCCTTTCAGAACCAGCCTGAAGCGGGTCCGTGATGCGCAGTTTCTGCAGGTACACGGGCGGCGAGCACCGGGCTCCAGAACTCCATCAGGGACCACTCGGGCCCTGTCACACGACACACACTGAGCTGGACGCGTGTCTGCGGACAGAAGGGATCAGAGCCTTTCACCCTGAGGCAAGTGGAGGGGATTTCTCATACATGAGGGGCTGGTCCCCATTCACAGCCAACCACGACAGACTGCTGAATGCCCACTCTGGGCAGCGGCACGTCCCTGTGTGCCTCCTGGATACAGTTTTATCAGCCAGGGACGCAGAAACCGGACTGCCGGTGCCAGGGGCGATGCGGAGGTAAAGTGCACAACACTCCCTCTGAACCAACGGTATCTAAAACACGCACCAGCATCAAGCGACATTCTCCAAGTGACGGGAGGGCCTATAAACATTTCATGCCAGAAGGAAAAGACCGAAGAGAAGGAGAAGCTGGAGATGCTGGGCCAAGAGGCCAGAAGTGAGGGGCCAGGTCCCAGCAGGGGGTGGAAATGAGCGCACGGCCAGGTCCAGGGCGGAGCGCTCAGAGCCTGCCCCCTGGGGGGTTTGCAAAGGAGGGAGGCCCGCAGAGAGGGGAGGCTGGGTGTCTGTGCGTGGCTCCCCAGGCCCCGGCAGAATGAACCCCTGGCACATGACTGGTGATTATATGAAGACCAGAGAGAGGGAAACCGGGTGCAGATGTTTGCAAAGTGAGCAGAAGGTGTTTACGTTTAAGGTATTTGTTTTTTCATGCACAGTTCAGACTTGGGCTTAAGGACTTTCAATTTAAGGAAAAGAGGGTCAGGTACCCCTTAGAGTCCCAGGGTCAATATGCCAAAGATGATAAGAAAGCAGTGAGACCTGGCCAGGGAGCGGCGGAAGCTGACAGGCCCCTGCCTTTCTCTGAACCAGGGGTAAAGGCAGTCCTCCCTCCACTCTGGGGCTCGCCCTAGAAACCTCAAGACGCAAACGTGCCCTACAAAGAAAGTGTCTCCCTCTTGCTGCCCCCTGAGCCCTTGTGTTGACGGCTTTGATTGTCATCTTAGATCTGAAGAAGATTACCATGAAAAGATAGGGTGAGGGTCGTCGCAGAAGGCACCACAGGAATTAGAGGGAGGGGTCAACAGGTGCTGGACGCACACAAGGACACTCAGCAGGCCAGCGCCTTCACACTGGAACCGAGCCCACGGTCACGGGTGACCTTGCTACTTGGGGCAGGAGCCTGCTCTGGGTTTGGTTGTTTGCAGTCCCACCTCTTATAGATTCTTTGGTGCCTGAAGTCTTTGCTCAGAGGATCCAATTCTCACATCCATCCTCAAACCACATGGCTACAGAGCAGTAGCTTATCTTATGGAAAAACCAAGGGGAGATGGAACACATCTTCCACATTTCTTCTGCTACGAGAGGAAGGCAAAATATTTTCCAGCAACCGTAAGTAGGGACATCACACGTAATGCAGAAAAGAGAAATCCAGAGACCCATTCTGGTGCGGCGAGGCCGCTGAACACGGAGCCTCTTCCATCCCGCTTCTAAGATCAAGAATGCACGAGGCTGGATGTCACTTTAACTTTACATACAGAGACTTTTACAGTGTAAAGGAAGTAACTGTTTTTGGGGGGTTTTTTTTGCGGTACGCGGGCCTCTCACTGTTGTGGCCTCTCCCGTTGCGGAGCACAGGCTCCGGACGCGCAGGCTCAGCGGCCATGGCTCACGGGCCCAGCCGCTCCACGGCACGTGGGATCTTCCCGGACCGGGGCACGAACCCGCGTCCCCTGCATCGGCAGGCGGACTCCCAAGCACTGCGCCCGCCACCAGGGAAGCCCTAAAGGAGGTAACTTTTTAAAGGCATTTTCCCTGAACAGGACTGAAGTGCAGTTTGCCTTCTTATCTCATGACTCTATCTCACATCAGTTTCCTGACAAACCCAGAGTACAACCGAACCCTCTGTCACGTAAAACCCATGGACGCACCCACTCCTGCCTATTTTGGCGTTACAGATTTTGGGACTAAATCGTTAGATGTATATTGACACTGCCCCTTTTATAACTGAAGGCTCTCTTTATTTCTAATGACGTTTTTACGCTTTCAAGTCTATTTGCTTAACACCAATATTCCTATACCAGTTTTCATTTGCTTACTATTTGCCTGGTGGATCTTCTTCTAACACTTCACATACTTTCAAAATTCCTGGGTATTTATGTTTTAGGTTTGCCCTTTGAAAACAATACACAGTATGATTTTTTAAAAAACTATTCAATCAGAGAATCTTTCTTTTAACAAGTATAATCTATTTTGCATTTACTGTAATCACTGCTATTTGGGGACAAATTGCTACATCTTATTTTGTGATTTCCGACATAATTTTTGTTGTTCTCCTTTCTTTTGCTTCCACTAGACCCATTTTCCTGAGTTTTTTCTTATCTGGTTTTCTGTATTTCTTTTCTTTTTATACTTATGGGAAGCGGTGTTTTCTATCCCCGCATTTAGTAGTCATTCAAAAACACTCACACGCACCCCTGTCTTTACAAACCTAAGATAAGCAACACCTCCTGCCAACCTCGTCAGGACACCTCTCTACCTTCTGTGTTCAAGTGCTCCGGGGCTTTGCTCTGTCTTGTTTTTAACTACCACCCAATTCTACCGTCTTGTGTCTAAATGGTCAATCCTTTGATTTACAAACATATTTACCAATTTCTGTGCTCATTATTGACCTCAAGCCTTTCTTCTCATATTTCCTTTTTATTCATTAAATTAACTCATTCAACAAATACTGCTGGACGCTTAGCTGCACCATGCCAGCCTTGTTCTAGGCGCTAGTGACAGAGAAGTGAACAATGCAAAATCCCTGCACTCGTGGAGTTTAAATTACAGTGGGTGCTTCCATTATTCTGACTAAACTACACACTTCAGGTCTCCTGTAAGTAAGTGAATGGTAAACTCTCTTGGTCTTGGTCTATATTTTATTCTCACTGTTGAATGATAGCTCCACTGGGTGTGGAATTCCGGGTTCAGAGTTCCTTTCCCTCAGGTCTCCATCCCACTGTCTTCCAGAATCTGCAGTTACTGGTGAGAAGTCAGCTAAGAGTCATTCTCACGGTTGTGATTTTGTTATTTCTCTCTCCTTGTTGAGACTCTGCCTTTGGTGTTCCTCCGTTTTACCATAATGTGTCTCAGTTTGGATTCATCCTACAATTTCTTTTTAAAACAACTTTTACCCTAGCTCCTACAGCTTCCACATATATATCATGGCATGGTAATCTCTCCCTCCTTCACTCCTCTTTCTTTCAAAACACAAAACTAAATGAAAGGCACATTTACCAATGTGGGAAAGACCTGGGCGAGATGCCATACATGACACTATCACACACACCTTACTTCCTCTCCAGCAGCCCTCACTGTGCCTACTTTTCAGGTAAAAAAGTTAACCTCAGAAAGGTTAAGAGACTTTTCCAAAGCCACACAGCTGGTGAGCATTACAGCCAACATTCCAACTCCACAAATCTCATGCTCTTAACACACCACACCCCTGCCTCCTGTTTCTGAAGCACATGACTTTAAAAGAAATAGAAAAGGGAAAAGAAATGCTGGCCCATCATTAAAGAAATTCAAGGACTGTTATTCCCTGATTATGAACTGGAATTTTACAAACTAGTCAACAGACACTTATACCATAAATATGGCAAAAATATCCAAGACATTTTTCTGTTTCAAGAACTTCACATTTATGAAAGGGTCAACAGTCTAAATCATCTTTCGGCCAGGCCATGACAGCTTCATCTGAAATCTGAGCATTATCTCTGAATCACCTTCAAACCTACGTCATTAAAGCTAAGTCAACAGAGATGGGGTTAAAACTGTAATTCAAAACCAACCACATAGGTATTTATGGAAGAAAATAGTAAAAGCCATTGTTTTACCTGTGCTACTTCTTCAAAATCTTCATGACGTTTCTGCAAAGCTCTGGCCCGATGCAGAGATTTCCCCACACCTGTATGTTTGCTCAGAAATGCTTCTCCATGGTTCTCAATCCAGTCCAGCACCTACAATGAAATACAGATATACATGCCATAAAAACCATGCCTGCCTCCATCAGTTTTAGGGCTATCCATTAACGATACAGTCTCTCATCTGAACTCTATAAGAAACAAGGGAGAAAAAAAATTGGGAGCAACCGGACAGTAATCTAACACGTTGAGAACTACATCTTCTGTCCACTTTCCTACCACGATTTTAATCAGCTCTTACTTTAATAGTGCAAGTCTGTCTATGTATAAATATTACATGCAATAATGATTAAATTAAATCTCACCTCAGTTTATGCATGACTGAGCCAACAAAACTGCCTGGGTTTTGTGTGAGATAGTGGTAGTCAAGTCACAGAGGAGCAATTTAACTTAACATTTTTATAAGGCTCAAAGCTTCACAACTCAGACAATTGAAGTTTAACTACAGAGTTCATGTTTTTCTGTCTCTTCTGAAAGACTTGAAACATGTAAGTAAAACCCAAGAAAACAAAACAGCTAAATGCCTCTGTCCTGGTCTTCGAGGATAATTTATTCTATAAACTAAGCTGTCGTGAAAGCTAAACATTCCATGAACTTAAATACGTAAGAGTTCTTGCTAGCTGAAATCCACCACACTAAAGAAAAAGAGTACAAGTAAAGCAGGGCAACCCAACGTTTTTAAGTCACAGCTGGGGCTGAGTAGTTCACTGGCTACTGTACTTGAGAAGTTGCAAAACGCCAACATCATCAAACAACATATTTAAGACTACATCAAATATACATTCGTCTCTTTCTGATGGAGAGGGGATAACCAGCCAAAAACTAAGTCAGTGACGTCTTTAGCCAGAAACTTTCCTTAAAAGATATTTGAATATCTGAAGACATTTGTTCATGTGTTGCAAAGTACTGAAGGCCACCTTGGATTCTGCAATTAGTAGCCATGGTAACTAAGGATGCAGATCAAAACAATCTTGGACTAAAGACCCGCCTGGAGCCGCACAGCTGGGACAGTGGTCTAGAGGGCAACCTGGAAGGGGACCAGTCACAGCCCTCCACTAACTGCAAAATTAAGGGGGCCTTAGGGTGGGGAATGCGATGCACAGCTTGGGGAAGACAGTGGATAATAATACAACAACTGTGTGTGGACAGCTGGGCACTAAATTTACCCGGTGATTGTTTCACAATGTATGCAAATGCCAAGTCACTACAGAGTACACCTGACACTAACCTAACACTGCATGTCAACTATATTTCAGTTAAAGTAAATAAATAAAAGGGGCGTTAATTTGAGGTTCATTGCTACAAAAGTGATCCCTTGCCCTTTGTTACCTCCACCACTGAGAGATCAGTTGTGCTGACAGACATCTAGATAAAAGGAGGCAGCTGCTAAAGGCCTGTCCAGGGACAGCCGGACTCGTCCTCTTCTGCTCCACACCAGTCACCTTCTGGTCTGACTGATGGTCCTTTCTGCATAGGGCTTAGCAAAGTCAGTAATGCGTGTAAATAAAATGGCTCACGAACCTGAATAAATCCCTGGTGGTCCTCTGTAAAGAGCCTTGTAGAATGAGCAGGAGTGTGTGTGTGTGTGCATGTGTGTGTGCGTGTGTGCGCGCGCGTGCGCATGTGGGAGGACGGGGGGGGGTACGGAGGTCAAGCCTCGCAGCGCAGCGGCTGCTCAGGCTGCAGGTACACGCTTACCTTATTACCACAGTTCATTTCTGAACCTCTCTGTCAATGCCATGCTCTGCCAGTCACCCGGGGTCACACTATCAAAGTGATTCCTACTGGATCCATTTGTCTTCTGTCTGTCCACCTCCCAGCCCTTCTGAAAAGCTCCCTCTTTACCTTTCATTTCTAGCCCCCTGCCCCACAGACACGGGGTAGCCCTTCTGAGCCGCAGCTTCCCGCCTGCTCAGTGGGGATAATAATGGGGGACTGTGAGTTGTCAAGCACCTTAATATCCTGGCGTGGCAGGTATAGAGCACACAAGCCATCCCCACCCACAAACTGTCACCAGAGACAGCTTCCATCTAATGTCAAGCTCTTTGGTAGCACAGGCTATGAATATTCCATTGCTTTTTAACCAGTGCACTTAGTATATTATTTTTCTTTCTTCAGATTAAAAAGAGAGAGAGAGACCTTCAGTATCACCATCAGTAGGTAATACCACATTCACCACCTGATATCAAGCTGCTGTTTATATGACAGTCTCTTACTACGTATTACAGAACACAGGTCCTGTCTCACTCGTAAAGAAATGCCCAATGATAATTTCAAGATGTCTCAGCTTCAAAGAATGGATACAGTTAATGGAATGTGCCTTTCGGTATGAGGCCAGCACCAGGCAGAAGACTAGGATCAAGTATATTAAGCTTGAAAAGAGTTGAGAGATACGTAAGTACATCTATGCCACTGTCCACTTCCCTATCAGATCTACATGAAAGACTAGGAGACACTTTTTTTAAACTAAAGCTATAGTATCTGCTGTATACTCCCCAACATAGTGTAAAAAGAAAAATCGAGGTTTGGTAAACAGCAAACCTGATGAGTACTGATGACTCAATACAGACTTGAAGTAAGGGCAGAATTTCAAGAAGTAAAAGACAAACACTATTTGGTAGAAAGAGCTGGAGGGAGCAAAACACAGTCTTTTTTAAAAAATAAGAATTTGTTTTTTCAAGCCCAAGAAAAGTTGCTTCAGAAAGCATAAATTGGAAATAAAAGCTATTATGAACCAATCACTCAGGGTTACAAATGGGTTACAATTTTTCTTTTATTAGTGGTTCCTTTTCACAGAATTATAAATACCAAGTGAAATTATATTTCCAACAAACATGAAAGTAATTCAAAGAAGACTACGAATTCCAAGCACTTTTTAAAAACAGTCGCAGACAATTGTGAAATCTAGCTCATACTCAAAACCAAACTTCCCCATGAGGCTTTTGCTTCTCATTAAGTCTGAGAATGTTTCCCAGATCGCCAAGGAATCCTGAATGAACGTACCTGCCCAAGGAGCATCTGAAAGACAAGCTTGTGGAACCTTTCCATTTAAAACATAAAAATATTTGCAAGCCAGGGCTCCATCAAGCTAGTCCAGCCAGCCCCCTCCCTGACTCAGCCGTGGTGGCAGCTGCCCTCTCCCTGCCTTGTGACCTTCACCTTAACAACTTGCTCTCTGCAGCCGGCTCGAGGAAAAAGGGCAAAAGCCAGTCCTTCCCAGGGCACCTGGTTCACAGGCAGAAGAGCAAGGCTGGGAGGCCGACAGCGCACCCTCCTTGTTCGGGGAATGTGGGGCAAGCTTGTTCCTCTGTACAGTGTCCTCTAACAGGCACCATGATAGCCCCAAGGTCAAGGTCGCTCCAAAGTGAGCCGCCAAGACTTAAAACACAGATAACTCTTCTCAGCATCTAAGTCAAAATGTCAGCTGTGCAGAAAATCTCAGATTGCTTAGCTCCCTACTTGTAATGTAATTATAAGATTGAACGTGACGACGGCAGTATGATAATGCTCATCTCTTAACGAATAATTGCGCTGCTGTCTGAGCACCTGCTACTGAAGCCGGCCCTGACGTACACTACACCACCAGTCCTCACGGAGAGCTGGATGGGGGCACATCGTGACTCTGTTTCATACATGAAGACGCAGGACCAACGGCTACCAAGTGGAAGAGCCAGTCTGTGGACCTGGACCCAGGAAGCAGGGTCCATTCTCTTAACCTCTAGTCTCCACTGCCTCTTCAAGTCAGCAGAGCTGGCACACAGGTGGCAAACTGAGGAAGGAAAGAGCTGCTTTGCTTCAGAACAGTTCAGGCTATTGGGTAAGTGACACTATTATAATAGAGAGCAAAACGGGGGGAGGTGAACCAGCAAACAACACCACGCCTGGACCACACGTCTTGGGAACTGGCCACTGTTGCCTTTTCTATCCTCACTCACGTGGCCGAGTCTGGCCATCCCGTACAATCTCTAAAGTAATTTTCTGCCATAAGCCCCTACTACCTAATATTCACTGTGTTTTGTGGATTAATATTTCTAAGTAATTACTATTTAAGAACTTACAACTAAATACTAAACCCTTGTCAGAGAGGAGACATTCTCAAGGGCCTATGTGTCAACAACATGCAATATAAAGACCAATGTAATAACATTTTCCCTTGAAAATGCAGAGGTGTTTATTTCAAATACTTACTAGAACAGCCTTCTATCATCACCATGTACCATGTCATTGTCTCTGGCATCATCTATTGAGAGATTATTCTGTGCTGTGCTTGGGAGGGCAATACAGGTCCATAACCCCTTATCCACAAAAAGCTAAAAACAGCTCTGAAATTCCAAATATTTTTTCAGAACTTGGTCAGAAAAAGTCACTGGCGATAAGACCTGACCTGAGGCTACTAACAGTCTTTACTGACCCCTTTGGTGTGGGTCCTTGAACGTTTGGCTGCAGAAATCTCCATGTGCTTGATGATGGGGGGCTGCCCAGACCTCACCAGAGTGTGTATCACAGTGTATACACACTGTTCTCTTTCTCAACTCTGAGAGATTCTTAATTCCAAAACATATTTGTCCCAAGGGCTACAAAGAAGACAGTAGACTTCTATTATTATCTCTATTAAGCAAGAACTGGATGCTCAGGAAAGTTAAGAGCCCGGGAAAGAACACCTCGTTAAAAAGAGAAACCAACACAGGACTTCAAGAATCCGAACATAGGCTCCTACCCCTCATTATATTGTGTTACTTTATGAAATGTAAATACTATATGAAAACCTTTAAAGTATTTCTAACGTTAGAGTTCCAGCGCTAAGATTTACTGTTTGTAAAAACTAGACCAGACCTCTGACATAAAACCACCAGGAGCACATTAAGCTTATCTATTTTTACTGGGAACTTTGGACGCAAACGGTATTCAGGGAAAACATACAAACATCTGTCAATTTTAGCTACTGTTTTAAAGAGACAAGGCCTAGGGAATCAGTGTTTTCTGTCACAATAATGAGAGTTCCCTCTAAGTCAGGGGGCCTCCACCCTGTTAAGACC